AGAGACGTCCGTGACGCGCCGCGGTAGTTCTGTCTCCTCCAGCTGTCTCCTTATCTTCTCTTGACTCCATTCGAGAGGCGGAAATCGTCACCCGGAAAAAGGGGGGAGGATGCTCGAACCCGAATGCGCCCGCCTGTTTTATTCCTCTATTGAAAAACCGTCCCTCCCCAACGGGACAAGGCTCCGCATGAGTCACCCTGGGTGTTATGAATCAGCGCGAATACGGAAAGCACATTTCCCAAACCGACGGAAGAGCTTGACGCTGTGATGAGATCTCAAGGAATTACTCGAACGGCAGCAAATAGATTTCACGTCGAAGTTGGGGACCCGGATCTCACTCGTTCCGGGTTCCGACGCTCTGGGCATCGGGTTGACGACAACAATCGACCCCGACTTCGAAGACCGGGACAGCGATCCCGAGCCTCGCCTTGAATCATTCATTGATCCTGCGGAGAAGAACGCTTTCCTTCGGAAGAGTTCCATTTGCGAAAGAGCTTTCAGTGGTTTCGATGTCGCACCGATTGATCTCGAAGCACTAGAAGCACCTTTGTGTGCGTTTGGGTGTGTGTGAGCGAGTGTATGTTCGCGAGTTCGGTGTGAACAGGCGACCCACGACCCTATTCGATACAGGTGACGCACAACTGAGCAGGACCTGTCGGTCCGTGGAACCTCTGAGACAAGTCAGGATCGATGATAGTCCTTATTCCTCAAGTGGCAAGTTGACTTCTTGAATACAGCGGTCGTTGATGGTGATTGTCAGACGAACTTAAACTTACCGTGTCCGCATTGTTCGCTCCGGTCGTCAGCAATGTCGTATTGAGTTTATGGCCTGATTAGTGGCCAGTGTCCTCATGGCTTCACGCACTCCATTCACTTAAGCGGCATAGGACATCGACACAGCGATCTGGCTGCAGCCATTTTTTCATAGTGAGTAACTGTTGTGAGTCGGCCTCCCGAGGGGAAAGGCTCTCGCTCCTAGGAAAGGGAAAAATCTGACCTTGGGTACTTTCTCGCGGACTCGCGAGGGCGCGCCTCCATCGACCCACGTTCATGGCACCGATCGACAAACAGAGCTACGCACGACCCGCCCCCCTCGAGCGTCAGATCGCGCCGCCGGGCAGCGTCTTCGAAATTCTACGAATTCCCTCGATACGATTTGCCTTGCTCAGCGCATCGTTACGATGGATTCACGCGAAGCGCAATTCCCGTCGCTCTTCGTCGGAGCCGCCCTCTCGATCCTTTTCTGCGACTACTCCTGCTTCCGGGAATCTACGACGAGTTCATTCAAGAATCGAGACTCGATAGCGCGGAGCGAGACCTGAACACGCTGCCGCCAATGAATCGCATCGAAGCGAACTTGCAATATATAGTCCTGCGAGGCTGTCCCGATCGGGCAATATTTGATCCGCAGAATGAGCCAAGCCTGCAGGATGCCAAAGCAGGATATGAACGTGTCCTTGTCCTGTTGTTTCCGGTAATACTGACCGAGCGCTCCCGAGACTGCGGGACTCTACGTGAATGAAGCTCCCGACGAAGAGCTTGTCCAGGCTCGACATCTGTTCCCCGGGCGGAAATCGGTGAATTTACTCAGAGAATAGCTTCCAGTACTTGTAGGCGGTACTTTCGAAAGTGGCGGTGATGCCGTTACCCCGGAGCCGGACGGGAAAAAAATCCCGCAGCAGACGATGGGTGAGGGCAAGTATGGAGGACAACGACGATGACGACGACGAGGAGGGCTCACCAGGGAAGCACGCAGCCAGCCAGCGAGTCCGCCAATGAAGTAAACAGACGGTCCAGACTGTGCGGTGCGTCGAAAAACATCAGCTCCGATTCGAGAGACAGTTTCTGCCGCTTCACGGGCAGTTGATACAACGTCGATTATTTGCAACGAAAAGTCCATCCCCGGGTCCGAAACGTCCCATTGAACTTCAGAGCGTCCGAACGCAGGCGAGAACGGAGGAGAGCTTTCTCAACGGATACTTCTGGAGTACCGAGTAAGTAATTAGCCAAGGTCTGTCAGTGAAGGTCTGCATCGAATGTTGCATCTGACTCTGCAAACGTACCGTCGACACGAGAGCGATCTGAGGTGGGTCGAAGTTACCCGTACACCCATGCACTCCGTTCGTCACCTCGGACACCTGCCTGACCGTCCGGATACCTGCATATGATCCGATGGTTCTCGATGCGTAGTTCCCAGCTCAAGCCGGGTGGAAAACTACGATGTCTCAAGTTTTATATGCCTGCGTGTTTCGTCGAGGACCGATATCCAGGAACGGACCATTAACTAAATGCTGTCGGGTCGATAGAGCGCCACGTACAGGACGCATGTACCTGTGTCTTGTTCTGGATATTCGACAAGCCATGAGCCCTATTGCTCGAAACTCGGTTTCGGAAAAATCGGAGTTTTTCGAAAGACTTTTGGGTCGACTCAACGAATGCCCGGCGCAGGACCGGTCCATGATTCCAGATCAATCACCTAGGCTGCTCCCCCGCTATAGTCGGAGTTGCGCCGGGATTCTGTAGGAAGATCTCATTGACGTGAGGAGCAGTTTCGAGAACAGATCGGAATGTCCGAGAGCACTGCACCCACGCCTTCTACAGTTGACTCAATGCAAGCTAAAGGTTGAGAGCGAGGAACAATGTTTCCCTCCACCGCTCGATTGCTTATCGCCAGCCCCGATACTCCGCACCATGCGACCGGCTCTGGGCTCCCTTGTTTGTGCCATTTGTCAACTCAGAGCTAGAAAATGCTCATTGAGCTCCGATGGCTGCAAAGAGAAAGCCGCCGCAGACGTAGCTCAGCTACTCGATATGCCGCTAAATGAATCGAGTCCGCTCGATAACTCCTCCGGGAACGAGCAAGTTCTGAGTCTCTCCAGAACGCCTGCCTCTCTCGCTGTTGCGAGCAGCGGTTCTGAGTTTTTCGGCGGGAGAAAGGCTGCCGATTCCGGCAGCCGTCTTCTCTCTGGAGGTCCTTCCGCGAAATCTCGAAACCTACAAAAGCTTGGAGCTTCATTCAGAGGAAATCGTCCCGCTCGGGAGGGAACCTTGCTCACATCAGTGCGGCGAGGGCACTTGGAAGCCACGCTCTGGGGAGAAGTTGATTAAATTTTCTCCCGGGAAGATCGGACGACTCACAGGCCGAGGGACCGGCGAAGGCACAGACGGAATTCCCTTTTTCCTGCGAATGGAGAAGACACTTTCCCCGTATCAACAAACACACGAAATGCTCTCATAAGAGCTCAAATCTAAGGCGTCTCTGTGAGTTTCCAGTCGGGTGGAGCGAGCTCCTGGAACCTATTTAGGAGGAAATCGGGGAGAAATCAGCGAAGACGCTCTCCGGGAAAAAAATCCATATTTTGCTCGAAATCCAAAAGGAAAACTGTTCGGGACTCAGTTCGCATTCAGGAGTGGTTTCTACCGAAATTCCTCTCCACGGCTGGCACACACAGCCTGCAGCGGTAGCAGCCAAAGCAGAAAGCGCTCCGGCATCAAACAGTGTACGTGTGGCCTCGAGCGAGGTTCAGGGGCGAGGTCGACGCTTCCGAATGAGTTGGCTCCAGGGATCTGAACACGCTGATGACGTGCAGATCGAGGAAATCTGCGGCATCCCTACGAACGTCATAGCAGCGTTTCGTGTCCCCGCGCGCCCCGCTCCCCTGGAGAGCGAGAACAGATTGCAAAAAGGTGTGGTTCCAGTTGTTTCCACCGTTTCCATCATGTCTGTTTTTTGCCACCGTGACTCGGGCTTCTCGGTGATACTGCGGCCGGCGGCTTTAGCGGAGCCTCCGTCAACGTTGACCTTCACGTTTCGAGATCAACTTTTGTTAGCAGGGTGGAGACGAAGTGCGGGACCGCAATCTCTCATCGCGAAGAGATCATCAAAGCGCTCGCGACCCCGCTAAACTTCGTCGATCGCTCGGACGCACACACACGTATAATTAAAACGCATTAGCTCACACGCGAAAGGGCGCAGAGACCTTGCTATCAGGCCCCCCCGCGTCTATGCAAAGCGAATGCAGATCTATTTTGACCGGGCAAGTCCGAGTCACCCACGACATTGGGAGTGGGCAGTCGCTTATTTTCTACCCGATGCTCTACTGTTCCTGTCGTTGACTGAGAGAGCGCTCCGGGTAATGTCCGCATTTCGCCGTGGTTCTGCGATTTGCCGTCGATTCGGCGGCCGAAAAACGTGCCCTTCCGATCTTCTCCGGGGCTCGAGCTCATCACAGCCGTCCTTCACAAGACGTACATACATAGATGGTGAATGCCCTCCATGAACTTTGTCCCTATTGTTTGCCGTGAGATTCATTGTGTGATCCGGCGGCGGGACGGCATCGATTCTCCGGGACCGAGAGACGAGTAGCCGACGGTAGAGGTTGGCCATCTACCTTCGGCACGGGGTACGGGGTAGGGCGATGCCCTGAATAGAAGATACACACGCTCAGTTAGGAAATAACATGTACACATCATCTGGAGTAATAATTCTCTCCCGGTCTCTTCGCAGGGATAATGAAACTCAGTAAAAAAAGAAGTCGGACGTTGTAACCCAGGAGGTGCCCGCGCTCGGCGGCACGCTGGCCGACGCGCGCGAAAAACGCACGCTTATCACAGATTGCACTGCGATCTCTATACCTTCTGGCACCGCACTCGAGCCTTTGGCGAAATCGGCGCCGTCGACGCCGACACAGTATCGCCGACCGCGTCGTGAACTGCATCTCCGCACCAATCCGCTGGTCGGTTCGCCGAGAAGCCCTCGAAGAATCCCCCGCGCACCTCATCCCCGTACGAGTCCGTCGCATAGAGGTCGAGTATCTCCTTCTGGACGAGTGCAACTACTCCTCACCATGGACGGATCTCGTCCGGTATATAATTACTATCACCCTTCACAAACGAGACGACCATCAACAGCAGCTCGACGTTCTACGCTACGGTCGCAGGCGTCGGGACGCTCTCGTCGACGTGCTTCGTCAGCGCGCTCCAGTCGCAACTCGGACCTCATGGACCGGCAGTGTGCCTTAATTCTCATGTATGGAATATATTTTTTCTACGTGATGGCCTGTTTCGGGGCGATATCGACATTCGCAGGCCTCATGCTCCGGGTGTCGAATAAGCAGCCGGGCTCCTACGACAAGGGAAAAATCATCTCAGGCATCGGTGAGTGGCGCTTCCGTACATGATGACTGTGTATAATAGTTCTGTGTAGGTACTTTCACGAGGAGCCTATTCGACCGCTCTGTAGATATTCGTGGTGGACGCGTAGTGAAACAGCGAAGTTGCTGTCGTCGAATTTCAAACAGGACGTCGAGGAACCTCGGTCTGGAGAGTCCCGTGTAGAGAATGAATGATTCGTTGTCCTCGCCTCTCCCGTACACGTTTCCGAACTCGATCCATGGAGCAGAGCGTCTTCGTTCGACGAGTGGATTTCCCCGACGAGGCAGCACCAGTGCGAGTAGTCAAGTCTGTTCTCTCGTACGGAGTTTCGCGCGTGTTCCATGCGATACTATGCCTCGAACTCTTATCACAACATCAGCGTCACGTCTGAGGGCTACTTGGCATTCAAGCTTGCATACTTGGCCGATATGCGTATCAAGCGTGGAAGTGCTCTGTCTCACCTTAGGTACGCCACTCGGCACGCTGCCCGCCCATTCTGTGAATTATTTCGTTCCTCGATACTTTCGAAGCCGCGTAGTCGCTGTATTGCGTTTTACGCGCACCAAGCGTGTTTCCCTTCGGAAACTCCGAACATCGCTTGAGCGCGAACTTCGGAAAGGGCTCATCTTGGCTTTGTGGAGCGTCTGCTCCCGATCGGAGAGATTCTATAAGGGAGAATCCCTCCACAATTTTAATTTCGACCCCTTAGAAACGACCGGCCGCACAATCTTCATGCGTATGCGAATCCTCCCAGCGGCTGCGTACGCCGTAGATGCCTCTGAGCGAACAGAGTTTGGATTGGACTCGTAGAAAAACAGTTTTCTTTCCTCTGAAGTGTTGGTATTCGGTAAGCCACCGATGTCACCTCGATCGCATCGCTCGCTCGGCTCTTCTAGGATCGTTCCACGGAGGTACTCGCTTGGGCGACATTGAGTCGAAGGCGAGTTCGCTACCCTGCCGGAAGCGATGTGCGGATCCATCAACCCACTCATATTTGCCCATACCGATAAAGGAAGACGAATTCTGGGAAACCAATAAGAGAATATCACCTCGACAAGACTCAGTATCCTGCCATGTCAACGTCGATCACATTGCTAGCATCTTATTCGAGAGCTCTCGCTTAACCGCCTAGCGTCTCTAGATGAGTATTTCGATATCCGCTCATTTAGAGATGTTCCTAATTCGATTTTCCAAAGCCTTATGCCCATTTTCTATAAGGGCATGTGATCATTTTGTGGCGCTTAGCGTCAGAGGCTCCTGAGCGGTTCCGCGGACCCTACGTTAGCCTATTCCTCGCCACCGCAGCGATATGTGCAGCCATGTGGAGAGCTGTGTGGAGGGATACTCGGAGACCTTGACTCGTGTCTCCTTCGAGCCCGGGTTGTCGTTATGGTGTCGTTCCTTAACAACCTCTGAACAGGTCTTTGATACTTGTGCCCTTGCTCATTGTCACGAGCGCTAGTTCCCTCAGCTCGATACCATGACAGCAATATGTAGTATCTTATGACTTTGTCCATCCAGCGTCCTCTTCCCCAAGATTTCGCCTCCGCCCTCGGAAAATCGGCGATATTCTCGACATATTGCGAACCGAAGCTCAAGCCGCCGGACTCATCTTCTGAGTTCTGCATCGTTCACACCGCTGCACAGGAAGCAGTAGTCTGTTTCGATAGTAGCGAGCGCGATTCACCATTTTTCGTGAGCGACCGCGGGGGAGGAAAGGCTCTCGATTCACAGGTGGAATAATTCACCGATCGAATCATAAACTGATTCGACTTCAATTGGTGCGTAGGCCAATGAGAAGAGCCAATATGCTTCATCGTTTTGGGATGAGCTCATCACCGACGGGGCGAAGACCACCCTCGCTGACAAAATTCATTCGAGCCCAATTTTTACGAAACAGAAAGAAGAGGAATAGCTATTATGACATCGGTTAGAATTACGGCAAGGCGAATGCAAGAATAGGCTCGACGAGTCTCCTCCGCAGCCCGTGTACTATTGAACGCCGACAAAGCTCGTAATTTCCGAGAGAATTTCCCCGAGACCTTGAGCGGCACCCACTCAATCGTGGAGGAGGACCTCTCGCCTCCGGAAGCTCCGCTGCCGCGGGCTTTGTTTCGGATGAATAGCATAATGTATTTCAGGAGCCGGACAATTATCCGCGAATTCAAGGCGAAGCGCTCATGCGGGGTAGTTGCGGGTTGTGGGTAGCGATCAGCGCGAGTCCAGCCTCTTCCTCGTCCGCATTCCAAAGTTCGCGTTCTTTCGTTCAAGAAAGTAGACCGAGCACGCTGTAGGCTTCCAATCGAAGCTGTCACCAGGTCTGGAATCGCTGTGACTGGCTGACTCTTGCTGCTGTCCTTGCCTCTTCTCCCCTGAGAGGCCGTTGACACCTCCCGTGTCTTTCGTCCAGAATCGCCTCGCCGTTCTCTTTAGACCTCGAATCGCGAAAAGACAGCTCGACGCAAATCATTACATGAGCTCTTCACGCTCGGGGGCGACGCTAAAAAAGAACGTCAGACACTGGGTATCAATAGAAACCAATGAAAAACCTCTGGAGGGCGTTCGCTGCTGGAAGCCAGACGTAAGAGCTTCCGGCCCTCCCGCCGCGCGATTGAGATGTAGGGACGGAGCAGCAGGAAGCGGAACGATAAAGAGCTTGTATCACAAGTCGTTCATCGTGCATTCACTCGGTTTCGGCTCAACAACGTGCTTGAAGAGGCCGATGCCAAGAGCCGTCGCCGCTGCACAGCATCATGTTGACAAGGATCCCCTGTTCGCTGCTAGCGGCAAATTGTCGGCAACGAATCGAGCAATCGGTGTCGTCCGGGGACAAAGCGACGACTACCGAAGAGCGACAGGGTCCGGAATCCACTTTGCCTCCGTGCTTTTATTCTGGAGTACAAAAGAGAGACATCTACCGTCGACACTGCCTCCACCACTTCTGTTGCGCGAAGCAATGTACCGTTTTCCAGATAGAGCCCGACAGGGCAGAAAAGTTGTGACGTGAGAAATGTAGACAGGCCCGCGAGTTTTCCGACGAATGGAGAGGTGGAAAGTTATATTTTTTCATCATTCATAATTTTTTTATGCATCGCTCCCCAACTCCGTCTTAATTTCGATTCGAAAAACTAAAAACTGCTCAGAGAATGTGATGCAATCAGCCCACAAAGAACTCCCCCGGCGACCTTTCGTTTCACCGAAAAGACTCGTATACACCGAATGTATAGGGACTGAAGTACGTCAAAGTCCCGTCTCTCCTCATCGAAGGGATGCTGGAGACTCGGGAGTCCCAATCAAATCCAGGGAGCTGCCGATTATGCCGAACGATGCTCTCACGCTCAGTTCGTTATGCGATAACTTCTTCGAATTTGGAGATCGACGGCGGCATGGGATCGCCGCCAGCTATTCCCGAGCCGCTGTCGATCCTTCACCGAGAATGGAAACGAAATCCATTGCAACTTGTGCTCCACCATCCTTCGGTCAAGATATCCCCCCCGCCCCCTCAGCTCATCTTTCATCGTCGATCAAATCGAAGGAACGCGGTGGAGCATTCTGGCCAAGGATTTTCTCTGTCGTGAGACTGCCCTGACTCCTAAAGCGGCCTCTCTCAGGAGGTTTACTGTGGCGCCACCGCCGCGCCGTCCAAACAAAATACAGCCCTCGGTATCGATTCCGATCCCCGAAGCTCGGTCGATTCGGCCACCAATGCGTCGACCGAAAACAGCGCTGCGATAAAAAGCCTCTCGACCAGCGGTTACGTCTAGAGGTCTAGCGGTCATCGTCATTATGCACAGATCATGGGAAATCCCTTGCAAACTTGCCGGGAAAGTAAGCACTGTTTGCAAGGGTGGCTATGCATTGACCTGAGTAGCTCCATTAAGTGGCTTCGAGATAGGTACTGATCGAAAGTGTCATCGACCGTGGCCGGGGCTGGAACAAGAATGAATGAGCCTTCCCGCTGTAGCACGAATAATGAAATTCGGTAGATCCACATGTTTTCATCCACTTGTGTCTGAAATATGCGTAGTGCTCACAACGCGTCTTAAATACGGTCTCGTCTTGCCTCCGATAAAATAGGAAAGCTTTTAAGGGTGAATTCCATTCGTGCTTCCGATGAATTATCTGATTCCTGCTTCCAATGAATGACTCCATTGTTTTCAGGTATCGGTACATGCTGCACATGTTTCCTGATAGCGTTCTACTGCCGTTCGGTGAAATTGGACGATAAAATATTCGAGAGTATCAAAGAAACGGCGCCGATCGTCGAAATCGATGACCTCATTCTACAGAGGGTCGGCTCTGCGTACTACTACAATCCACAGCCCTCGGTTGAGAGGCGTCCGACAATCTCGTCCACGAGTCAAAAAGTGAGTTGCGAGGGATGGGAGATTCCGAAGTTCACTTTCGGTCGATACAGCGGGGATTCATATCGGGATTGAAGCTAGAGGACCTAAGGCTTCCGTTTCGGTATTGCGAGCAATTATTATTGCTGCCGATTGGAACTCAACTCGTTTCTCCGATTCGGAAGAAGATCCCGATGAGTGTTTCGCTACGGATTGTGATCCGCTGCACTGGAGGGAAATAATTGACTCCGGCGATAAGACTATGGTCTAGCCGGGCTGTAGCGGTCGCGGACGAGAAAAAATCCGTCCATCGAGGGGTCGACCGAGCAGATGGCCCGCCCAGAGCCGGCCTCGAATCTCCGTTTCTCAGACTAATCCCCTCTCAATCGGTACACTTCGTCGAATTGTTATTATTTTCCAATCCTCCTTATCTTGTTCCCTCTTCCGCGAATCTCCTTCCGTGGAGCTTGGGAGTCTTCGCACTCGTGAAGGACAACGCAAGGGCCCGAGAAACGATAGCCCCATTTATTCTCCGTAAATATCCGATTTCGCTACTAGAGTAGATGGGGATCGAAAGACTCCTCATTGATATCGGCAGACCGACGGCGAGGGCAACACTACAGTCGACACATTGTAGACTTCGAGACATTCGAGGAGCCCTCTCGGGGAGAATTTTGACGATCTTCCGTTCATGTGCGAGGTTCTTGCTCCTTCATAACTCCCGTACTTTCCGACATACAGTGCAGCTGGTGGCAGATGCGGCACGGCGATGCAGATGAAATTTCAATTTATTCTGCCGGTGGAGGGACCCGACCAGGCTCAGCGGCGTCTTCGATAATCGGTCAGGGCTCACACGCCTACCATCCCCATATTATCATTCCAAGAGGCTTTCATCACGCGGAATACATTCCTGGTGAGTTGCACAATCCCGTATTCTCTCTGCAATCTCGTACTTGATGCCGCTGGGCCGACACGCATGTTCTCAGCACGGCAGAAGCTCGTCTGCGATACTCGTCCCACCTACAGGCTGGAACGTGTTCGATGACGACGCAAGCGATGCAGCGCCTCGAAGGAAGATTGAGGAGGAGGGGCGCAAGGTCCGAAGAGTTCCCTGAACTCTACACGTGCGCACATGCTAATCGTTGACTCGGATAAGCTCCGATTTGACTTATCAGCAGCATCGCATACTCGCTTGTATATGTAGCATCTCTTTATAAGGGGCATGTGGGCTTTCACGACACAAGATGCCTGAGTGCCAGTTGAGACGAAAGAAGCTCCCCAGAGAACCCGTCAGCACGTGGTATGGGGTGGACTTCGGTACCCGCGAGGAATGTGTTTCCAGAGCTGGACCGAGACATCCGGTGTCACCTAGGCAAAAAGCTGTTTGACGTGCATCGCGAGAGTTGCTTTGTTCCGCACATGACACATTCGCGGCTCCGAGCAGACGTAGGCCAGTACGAGTCGATCGGGAAAAAGAAGATCACATCCACGTCATGCGTTCCGCTCTCCGCTGTTCCCAGCGGAGGGCTCTAGATTTTTCCGAGAAAGTTCCGTCACTTGAATACCCTCATCGTGTTTTCCCCGAAGCTGCTGCTTGACAAGCACTCCGGGAAAACCTAGGTTGGAAGTGCGGACCCTCACACAAAATCGCAATTTTTCCATGTTACGCAGGCTCGCTCTCACTCGCTGGCGCTTGAAGAGCGCGGGTCTCACTCGGCTGTTCAGGAAGGCTGGGCATGGCTTCTTAGACTAACTATCGCTTTCTGCTCTCCCACCACCCCTCCTCGTTTCTAACAGCGCTGCGACTTCCAGCGTCGGATATGGGCTCATCGAATCATTCGAGTCCGCTCCACTGTCCATCGTCCGGACCGCAGACCCCGTTATCGTTCACTTCGATAGACATCCCAGAAGAACCCGGAGAAGTAGATTTGGAGCGGCCTTCGACCAGCAGGCTATCAGTGGGCTAGTCTGCAATAGTCTGACCCGTCGGATTCAAACCCGCTCGACCCCATGTGGAACACATAATCCGTCGGTGACGGACGCGCCTCGCTCTCTGCTTGTCAAAGGATAGAAATCAATGAGCCCAGAGACCACCCTTTGCTTCCACCGATGCTGACGAGGCGGAAGTCTCTCGATTGCCTGAACGTAGAGGAATCATTCGCCCGCACGCGTCACGAGACGTGTTCGTCACCGTATTTCCCCGTGTCGGGTCGGCCATTCACCTGCTGGTCTGCCGGACGAATCGACGCGACGGTTCGCTCATTTGTCAGCCTGCGAGCCTCTTGAGGAGTCAGAGCACGCAGCGAAGTTTCCACACGCTCCACGAGTTTGAGCCCTGCCTACCCTAGGAGTCGAGAGCGATTTACCTTCCCCGACAAAAAGGTAGAATATGAAGCGACGACCAGTACGCATGATCTCACACACCTGTCGATAGAGCGGTTTGTCGGCTTTTCGGTGCAAGCGGTTATTTGATGCTCTTTGTTCGCCGATAGCGCTCGTCGACGTGAGGAATAGTTTACTCGATAGCGAACCCGTTTTCAAAGTCTCGGTTAATTAGATTTCTATATCCATTTCCCTCGACCTTGGAGTGGACGCCAGAACTTCAAGCAGGCATACGAAGCTGTGCGCTATATTCGGTCACGTTGTCACAGTACAGAAGTCTCCATTCATCGAAGATCGAGCAATGACCGATTGTGATTTTGAGTGTTGTGATGTGTACAATAGAAAATGGAATCAAGTTCAGTCTTTTCGAACAACATTGAAGCGTGCTCATAGGGGGGAGCAGTTCCCTAGGAGGGCCGAAACAAGATGCCGGTTCTCCGCGAAAAAAAGTCTATCTAGCAAGCGATCTCGCAAAAGAGAGAACTCTGCGATGGATATTCGACCCATATTGAAGTAATAGGCCAGAGCTCAGTAGCGGAAGCGGCTAGCTCGTAGTGATTCATTGGATCGATTCGACATAGACTACACTGGCTAGCATGCGACCGGTCCCAGAGGGAGGTCCCCAGGAGACGCGGAATAATTCGACCGAAGGGAAATATGTATGCCAGCCAGTCGGCCGGCCAGCCAGCCCTAGAAGCGCAGTGGATTGTTTCTGTGCATCATGCTGTATCGAATAAGTCGAATAATTGGTTCGGCTAATCTACATACTTCCTTTGCTACAGCTTCCATTGCAAACAACAGCGAGATCAGAAAAATAGACATCCTACATCGTTCCCGGTGCCGTCGCGGTCGTTCCTGCTTTCAAGCTGCTCGCGCTATCTCACAGACCAAGATCGGCGGATTCAAAGTCTTATGAATGAACAATGGATTAGGAGGTCTCGAAACGCTTCCCGCGTTTTCTCTGAGATCAAGTCGCCGCTGCCTTCGGCGTAGCTCGGAAACAGATCTCTGGGAATCGCGCTTGATGACGGTGACGGAAACGTAGACGAGATGTATACAGGCTGTAAATAAAGTACAGGTTCAAGAGAAATGTGTGGGATTGCGAATCGTAAATTCCTCGCCGGCTCTCGTGCTTCATCTAGTCGACATTTCACGCTCCAATATTTTTATTGTGATCTCTAAGCGCCGGTAACGTTTGAGTTTAGTGAGCCCGCTCAAAGCTCTACCCACAACGAGTCTGCGCTAAACCCGAAGGACTCGTAGGTAGTCCGGGAAAAAAATACCAAGGAATGGAGAATACGAACGGGTGGGCGACCAGCAAACAGAAGATGCTTTATTTACAATAGAGGGATTCCACTCAGCCGGAAAAGTTCAAGTTTGTGTTTTTTCCTTCGCTCGCAATCTACTTCCAACATTCACTCATTCAACGCACGGTAAACTCTAAATTGCTTCGAGAATTGACATTCAAAGCCGAACCCTCTGGTCACTTGGGAGTCGTGCAGCTTTAGGCGACAACACAGAAATGCAAAATCCATCCTCGGTCCTGTGAGGTACGATTTGACTTCAGGATAAATGAGAGCGTTCACTACCGAATCGGTGTGAGTCGCCGGTCATCTACCTCGGTAACGAAGTTCCGTGTGAAATGTGTTCCAGCGTAGGCGTTTTCGGAAGCTCGGCGATCGGAGCCAGATGGAGCGCATTGTCTTTTTTCGATGCAGCTGACGGATTCGACGAGGTTGAGCTTGAAGCGACGGGAGCGGCGCTATCCCGACGTTGAGAACCCTGAAGGAAGGGGGACAGCCAATAGTGAATAGTTCGCCCCTCAATGTGAATGAATAGTCGAGAGGACACCTCACGGGACGATGGGGAGCCGTCGGGTTTTCCGCCTCAATGTCTTATTTCAGCAGTCGACTTCCATGAGCTCGAAAACGCGGCGCTTTCCGGAGGTGCTCAATCAAGAGGGCGACGCTTCGCTCAATTCAAAAAGTCAGTCGGCACGAATCCGTACTACTCGTAGGCTTTCAGTTATAGATCGTGGAAGCGGACAAACTTCGGAGCGGACGTGGAGTGACAAGACAATACGGCCACAGCTGGCCGTCGAAAGGTTTCAGAGGAACAGACCGACCTCACATGACATCGTTCAGCTTTACAACAGAAGCAGCCGAGTGTAGTTTTTTTCGTTTTGTTCGAAACTGTCATTCCTTTGCCGATCAGTCGCAGTTAGGTTCCCCGAAACGAATGGAAATTCCACGAGGGGGAACCCGCGCGATCGGATAAAGACCTATTCCGAACTCGGTCATAGCCTTAAAGCACGCTTCGTCCTTAAGGGCTTTCGGGAAAAAATTAAATGGGGAAGCTTGTTCGTACCTGAATGCTCTGACGACGCACGGTATCTATGATCATGTCCATGTTGGGGATGGAGCATCTCGGGATCGTTGCAACGGAGGACCGCCTTCGTTGATAGTGAGGAAACAGGGGCGGACCGTCCAGTGCTTCTTCGACCGCGATTTGAATGATCGTGGGCTCTTCTTCAATCTTCCCTAAACGATATAAATGGAGAGAGGAATATGAGCGCGAGTCGCGTCCGGATTTTTGGTGTGGGATCAGTGTGTGGAACACCCAGGAAGTGGAACCAATCACCCGAAGCAAGCAAGGACTCAGACGGGGTCGAGAGGAGGAAAAAACTACCTTTCTCCTCAGTTGCGTCTAGAAAAGGCAGAAACTTAGTGGGCGCCACAAAAGTGAAGGCATCTGCACAACAAAACGAGTTTTCTTCTAGGAATAGATTCCTCAGGGAGACGAAAGACACCTCGGTCCCCATGGCCCGCACAGAAACGGGTGGTGTTACATGTCAGGGTTACGGCGAGCAGAGAAAGGACCACGCTCGATCATCAGAGCAGACAGGAATCCAAGTCACCGGGACTCACCTTGGAGCGCGCACCTACGGATGACCATCAGCGTCAAGAGGCAGATGAAAATTGTCAGAGTTGCGACGACACCCATGAAAGCTGGTTGGAAATCGTACAGGACGGAGCCTCCGATGCAGATCATAATGGCGAGTACGGTCAGAGCGACCATCGACACAATCCACCAGACGTTATCGTCCGCCCATTTCCGGAGCTGGATCTTCTTGTCTTCCTCGAATTTGGTGTCAGGCATCGTCGCAGCGACTCCGCGGCCTCGCTAGTCTCGCAACAAGTAGAGCTGGTCTGTAGATCCACCATTCACATTTAAGGGAAACCTTCGAGACTCGCCTCCGGACCTAAGCTTCCACTCGCAGGCAGAGCGCGTTCAGTCTTTGATTGAAGATGAACTTACGCGCGCGAAACTCACAGCTGGCTTCCTGAGATGGGCCCGAGATGGGAAGCGTATCCAACGGGCGTCGACGTTCTGGAGACGGAAAGGCAGCACTTGGTAATCAAATTAAAGTCGAGCCGGCCGCTCAAGCAGGGAACAGTGCACACAAAGAGCCGGATCGCCCCAGGCTATCTTCGATTCTACCGCAAGCCTGTCCGACTTGCTGTTTGACAGTCTGACGACAAACAACGGGGAAGCGATTGTGCGCGGTCACTGAGTCCGTAGACCACTGGCTCCACCTTTGGAGACCTCGTCGGAATCTATGTATCCGTCCACTGTGCGCTCGTGGACGAGAGTGCAAAGCATTTGATGCCCTTGAGAGATCGACGAGTCAAGTCGAGTTGAAGCCAGACGACCAGCCTGTCATGTGACTGTCACTCGCTCAGAACCATACGGCAAAATGGACGGGATAACTGCCTGCCTGCTCACCTGCTCCGGTGAGCAATAGGAGAGCACGAGGACTTTTCTCAATTAGAACTAGTGTCATGTGCAACTTCGACCGTGGTATCAGCGGAGCCAGTGGTCACCGAGACCGATGTCTTCATGGCACGAAAACTCTTGTCCGATTAGATTCCTCGATGAGCTGATATCATTCCGTGTGTACTATGGAGCATTCGATAACTTCGTCGAAGAGAAAACAAGGGTCCGGCATCACTCATCGCTCTTCGTTTTCGACTCCCCTGATGCCAGTTCGGATGTCGAGGGCAATTCGTTCCCGAGCCGGATTTCGTCGAGTGTTGCTCGTTGCACAAGAGGGGGGAGGGAGATGAACGCACATGAAGAGAACGGATGTCGAATGTTCTCAGCGCGATCGGAGAATGAATTTCGACCCCATCGGAATTCAGGCCATCGTCTCTCCTCCATTTCGCGAATTTCGAGGATCCCTTGAAAGACTGGGTCGCCCCTCGGAACGCGCATTGTCTGGTTACCCGATCGTTGAAGCCCAATGAATTTTCGGTTAGGGGATTCCGGGCGTCTATTGGAGGCTGTTTTCTCTCAATGCCGAAATATCGATTGAGAATGGCTACCCAGACTCGGGACGAATCCGCCCCGGTCTCAATCGAGGATCGGAAAGAAGTGGAAACTCAAATCGTCAGTCCGTCACTCCCTGAATACTAGAAGCAGCACTTCTATGCTCTGCCCGTGTCGCTGAACGAACGAAAGTGCCGGAACATGTTCAAATAGTCTGTTCAAACACGCTCCGTTTATTTGATTGCAGTCTGATTGTTTCTCCTTGCGGAAACAAACTATTATTTGAGGTCGGGCTTTCTCCGAGGGGACGACAATGTTCTGAGACCATCATCGCCGTGCCTAGACTCTCCCACGTTTCAGGACCTCATGCGTGATGCTGCACCCGAGTTCAGCCCTTCTTTCCGCGCATTCGGACGAAGGCTTTTCAAATGAGCATCGGAGCTTAGTTTCCATGTTCGACGGAGAAAGATTCCCATCGGTTCCGATCAGTGGAGGGGGCCGGGTGAGATGAGAAGGCGCGCACCATGAATCAAGCTCCTGGGAATTCTGAGCGAGGACTTTGACAGCGATTCGGGACGGAATCCTCTGGATCGAATGATCTCTGAAACCTCGATTCGAGTGTAGGTAGGTATATGTAAAGCATGCTTCGGGCGGGTGATTTGACACGGTTTCTCGGAATCATTTCAAATTTTTCCGGAACGAGCCGGTTCATCGGAGAACAGGATAATGTGGCTCTGGGTATATTTCGGAGTGGGGAATTCTTCTTCCAAAACCTCTCCGAATAAACAAAGTACGAGAGGTACGATGGCCCTAGTCCTGGCAAGCCGTCAACCGAGTTCGGAGTAATCGTGACAAATCACCAGCCCAAATCGTGCTCGATGCTCTACCGTATCCAGATATCGAGGACGATGGGTGCATCCTGATTGAGCGGCGGAAGCTAGATACCATCGATGGCAAGGGGGCTAAGCAATGAGGGCGCAAGATTCAGCTGATCAATCTAGGAATATTCGTCAGTCTCTTCCCTCATCTTGCCGAAGATCGATGATCGTACGTAAGGCAAACGTATGCACCATCGCCAGAGTCTGATATGTATCGGAAAGACGTCTAATTCCGGCGCGGCCAACGGAATCGACAAGATTCAGTCCGTGAGCGCTTGCAAAGAAGGTAGTATTCCGTCGCAACGTACCTCTGTCTATGATGATCCTGCCAGAGGTTGATAGGGAATTCGATCGCGGCATCGAAAATAATAATAATTCGTAAGGCTCGCTTCGCAACGACATCTCTCTCTAAGATCATTTATTAGATCATCGAAGCTGCCACGGGAAAAGGAGCGGAATCTTATGGCATCAAGTCCAAGCTTCTCTAGATGCGACATCGTCTAGATTCTAGGGTCTGAAGGATGCCTCGGCCGTGTCGCTGGCATCGATCGGTCCTCGAGTTCGCAGAGCCTAGCCGATGTGGAGGTCGGCCGCCAAAATGCTCGAAACTCGGATCCAACGGAATGCACAGACGCATCTTAGGCATTTACAGAATCCGTAAGTACCTCATTTCAGGATGGGTTTCGAGACCCATGTGCCGAGGAGGGTGGATTTCGGATAAGCCGGGGAACGAAGCCGCGGAGCAGTACGAAGTCGCCTCGCGAAGCTCGGGACGAGATCTCAGCTGTCGACCTCATAGTTGCCGGTTTCCGAGAGAGGATCTATGAACTATTTTCTAGGTCTCCGTGATTCTGAGAATGAGGAGACATTTGGATTCTCCTGAGACTCCAGTGTTCCGCCGCTCTGAAATCTCGAGTAGAGACTCCCCGAGCAGAGCCTATTATCATACCATAAGGGGAAAACAAGCACCGCGAATCTCGGAAATCGTCGAATAGGCCGCGACCAGGGAGTCACTCCTCGACTTCCAACTATGAACGTTCATAGATCCATTCGACTTCCAACATATCAGAATATGCCGAAGACTTCCAAGCTGGACTTCCGAAAAGAATTGGTCTATTTCACGCCTATGCAGGAGTCTAGAGCCCCATGATACTCCCGAAGCGACTCAGGGAGCGAAAAGTCAACATCAGCTCTCAGACACGTGACCAACATTCTTCCTCCGCGACTAGTCGAGCATCGAACACACACTTGCGATATCTCCTACTACCGGCATGATTCTCCTACTCCGAACATGACGACAATAATACGGCTATAGAAACCCTCTTTTCGTGGTATCCTGTTCAAATAATATAATACATTCGGACTAAATATCAACAGAAGACCGTCCGAGCAAACTAGGAAAGTGTCGGCGATCAGCTGAATTTCGTCGAAGCATCGGACGCATGTCGCTGCGAGTGGTGTGCTCACCTACGATGTCGACCGATGTTCTGTCCTGATGAAGTCCGCAATTAAAGGTTCACTCTGAGTCCTGACGAGCCCCCACCACACTCTAAAGTCAGCGAAACACGGCACAACTACACTGCGGAGCAGCGGACTGGCCGACGGTTTTCCGACCTATGGAACTCTGAGCAGGCGAGACATCTGTGCAATCTCAGTCGTTGGCGCCTCAGCGAATTGTCGCTGTCCACAAATCGGGACGATGCGACATTGGAATGCAATGTGCTGAGTTATTTCAAAGGTTGCCAGTCTGTCGCTGCTCCGGTGCGCGGCGCGGTCCTCGTCAAGATACAGAGCTTGGCCAATTTCAGGCAGAGTTTGCTTGTGTTTGGGCGGACAAGGCTTCAGAGAATGTCCGTCTGCATCTTCAAGCGAACTTACCCTCAGAGTCCTTCGAATCGGTTCTCGCGATCTGATTTTCTACTTAGCAGCGGAGGAACGTCACGAGAAGACTCGCCGATCACTGAGTACCGAGCGGCATCGCCAACCGGGACTGTTGTGTGTCACCCACGTTTACTGCGCTCAAAGCAGATAAGCTGAAAGGTCAGCCGGATGATCTCTTCAATTGTAAACATGTTGAGCAGCAGAGAGCTAAGCCGAAAACTCTAAGTAGGTAGCACCTCTCTGTAGCTTACAGGGAGCGAGGGACGTTTCGAAAGTTTAGAGAGATCCTGACGGAGACAAGGGTCCATAAAATTTACAATCGCATTCCGATTGGGAAGTCCTTCTCTCCAGAACGTATTAACGGAGCTTGTCTGAATGGAGCGATCCCAGACGTCTATGGGGAGCGAGGTTAGCAGTGCGCTGAATCCTGAAGCCGGATCGGCGGATTTGTATGGATGTCGAGGTCCAGAATCGCTGGCGGATACCGTCGATCCGACCATTGTGATGGTTCTGCAAGAGACACCCACCCATACACCGAATGGACAGGGGATATCGCGCACGGGAATGGGTCTTCGCGACGGAGCGCAGCTGGCCGATTGCGCGTTATCGGTAAAGACATAACAATGGCTGCGTATGAGCGTGTCTGTGGGAAGCAGAAAACTTAACCGCATTTCTTGCCACGATGTATTTCGGATATTCGAGCGACGACGTTCCGGCACTAATCACGTCGGAGCTCTAACCGCCTCGCACACTGTCCGTACAGATCGATGAACAGATTCAAGACACCCTTTAATCTCTCACCAGAACCGGAGAATTAGTGAGCCCCAGGCTCACTACCTTCGCTGGAACTCCATTTTATTCATACGCGTCGCCGATGAGTGACATTGCAAACGTGTGATACCTTCTGGTGTTCTATTTCGATAGGGTCGGCAATATTCGTGGATCATTATTCATTCGAGCTTGAACTTCATCGCGGTATCGAAACCAGCGGCGTGAGATCCGTTCCGAGCATGGAATCCGCGTCGATCAGCCGTGAGTCGAACTCGGCCCCGCGTCAGATCCAGATACTTGAGAGAAGAATCCATCGGGCTCGCCCCTGTGACCGGGCATCTCATGCTGACTGCAGCGATGCGGTAGGGGTATGTCATGAGCTAGTCCGGTTCCTATTCGAGTTGGGGACTGGGAAGATCATTCCTGAGCGCGAGAAAACTGGACTCACCGCGAAGATCATCTCCGAACTTGAGGCCGACGTCTTCCGACGGCGATGTTGTGAGGCAAATCCGCGTATCTCCGAGCGTACCATGAACATTGACGGTTCCATCCGTACTCTGCTTGATTCGGATTTGATCGACAATCCAAACGACTGTTCCAACATTGGTTGTATAGTTACGACAGGACGATATCAATGCTTCGCATTCTAGGAAATCTGCAATCATAACCTGTAAGTTCTCCTGGACCTCGTGAGCATTAATAGACTTAAGGACTTCGACGGTCGCGAGCGAGTGTGGTGACACGAACCAGTTTCAGTGGGTTTACTAGAACCGTTGTAAAAATATCTCTTCGGAAGATCGTCACTGAGAATCACGAACGACTCCGTGGTGGATTTCACGCCAGAATTGTCCACCAAATAGACCAAACCATGGTTGATCATCGTGAACAAACACCTGAAGAAGGACCACGGACTCGCTAATCGAGGTATCGAGCGGGAACTTGAATGAATTCGTCCCAAGGCTCATTCCCGGGAGCGTGGCGGTTCCGTGCGATTGCGACGGCGCCTAGTCTCTCACCCTCTTTTGGTTATCTTAGCAAAAACATCGGTTGGGAGAATCTTCTCCAAAGCCAAGGAAACGACCCCAGTGCAATATTCCATCTTTGCAACGCAGGGATGCTCAATGTACAAGGTTCCTCCGAAGGCAGGACTCGACATTCCCACCACGGCTCGGTTGCGTCGATTGATCAGCCGTATCGAGCCAGTCGGATGGATCTGAACCAGGATGTCGTGTTGCAGAAACAGTGCGACCGCTCCATCAGATCCGATCACAGGTGAGAAAAAACAAGGGTGTTCCAATGATGCTTCCACTGAGTACCTCGAGTGACATCTGTCAGAATAATCGTTATCTGTATTCGGTTCGGCGCAGCCGGGAGGCTCTCGCGGGATCTGATCAGAAAGACGCGACGCTCATTTTCGTCAGTTCGTCTTTCTCCTCGCGGATTCTAATCAGGGGGAGCTCGACTTCCCCGGCAAGCAGACACAAACCTGTGGAGATGGTCGTCCCCTCCAGCATGGAGATGATTGCAGTGATCGGCTCGCCGAGGAGCTTGCCAGCCCTCGCGCTCTGTATCCCTTTGACAGTTTCCGCAATGCGCCATTCAGTTCTCTCTTCTTTCGCGGTAGCCGTGCTTCCCCGCAGGGCAAACAACAATATGGCGATAGGATTGATGCAGCAGAGTTACCCGTCCGTAATTGAACTCAACTTCGTTTCTATCGATGCGTGATATTTGATTATCATAACCCGAAATTCGTGACTATCCGGCAATTGACGGAGATCTTCATGATTCGCTCGAAGTTCTCCAGGAACTCCTTCCCAACATCCAGCGCATGGCATCGAATTTCGAATCGAAAGAAGTTTCCTGCGAAGCGGGCTAGCCTGCCCTTGCTGACGACGCGGTCTGTGCCCAATGGTCAGTAGGATCGATTCAGTCTCCGCACGTTCAATGAGTCCAGGTGGACTTGGCGCAAAAGTGACATGTGATGTTTGAGTATTGATCGAGATAATCCCCCCCGTCTTCCGGATGTGGTGGGTTCCGAGCCAGAGCTGTTCTTGGGAGCATGTATGAGACGAGCCTCGAGACCGTGAAGGTCGGTGGATCGGCCTCCTGCGCTCTTCTACGACATGGTTTCCAAACCTTTCTTGTTTTGCAGGACTACGGGGACTGGTATCGCTCCGAGTTGTCTAAATGCATAACAATACAGCAATTCGATTACAAACGCCCTAGACGAAACTTTCTGAGCCCAGATAACCTACCCTTTCCATTCATCGAGAGTCAGCCGCGAGTGTTACATGGGTGCTCTGCCGAGAGAGAGAGAGTGAGAGAGAGAGGGCAATCTCACCTGCCTCAAACCAGGGCAGCGGAAACCCCCATTCCCTGGCGAGCCTATTGAACAAGGCGATGGGTTGCGGGCATAGAACCTCCAGGATATCGATCAGCCTCACATGAGTTCGGAAGATTTCTCAGACGGAAGGTTTCGTGTTGGCAGATGAACGCTTGCCTCGAATCTCTCGATATGCCCTCGAAGAGCGGCGCGCTCGAAGACAACCAGGAAAACGATGAGCGAGAGGACATCTGATCAGCGATCTCGAGACTACACGCACAGGGCATGTGGAGAGGTAGCCCCATCTATGCTTCCCATCGTTCACGTGCAGCTATCCATGGTCAAGTCTAGAAGGCTCCATTGAATTGTGGCGTTCTATCACAATCGAGCTCTTTACTCGGGTTCTTCTTGACTGACTCGGGTTTTCGTCTCCGATCCCTCTCCAAGTTCCATGTGCTCCGGAAAAATGAATGGCTCCGTCCGAGAAGTTCTGATGTTAGGTAGGTCTGCTCATTGAGTCAGACCGCTACAAGCAGACGGTCTATCAAGCCTGCCAAATAAACATGACAGCGAAACCAGTCGTGGTTTACCGCCGGTCGCGAACACACCTCCGATCGATTGCTTCACCCAAATTCCGAGTAGTATAACAACTGGCGACGAAGATGGGATCTCAAACCCACTCGAAGGAAAGTACATCGTGTCTCGGCAGACCTGGTAGTGACCCGCCTCGATTTTTCACGTGAAATCTAAAGTCAAGCGATGGCTTCGACCAACAACGTGCCTACATTCGACGGATTCGATGTGTCAACGGAGCAATTTTCCTCATGGGCTGAAAGACTGGAAAATCATCTCATCCTACACGACGTGTCAAACGAGGAAAAGAGAAAGAACGCAGTCATATCGTGGATGGGAGCTGATGCCTACCGGAAACTCATGGACAGAGTGCAACCCGAGAGGAAGCCAAAAAGATCTCAGTTTCGTGGAAATCGTTGAAGTTCTCCGAAAGGTCTACGAACCATTGAAAAACAAATGGTCTTCTCGCAGCGCATTCAGGAAGGTCCGTCAGTCGGCAGGTGAATCCCTAAGCACTTTCGAAAATCGGCTTCGTCACGCCGCAGCCGATTGTCATTTCTCAGCGGACCAACTCCAGGAGAGATTGATAGAACAATTCACTGAAGGTCTTGAAGACAAGCAAATCATGCAGAAAATTCTCATGAAAGAAGGAGATTTCACCAAGTTGGCAGAAGTTTCCCTGCTAGCTAACACGTTCCTGTCGATCAGGAAAGCAACGAGCGCAATCCACGACAATGGATCTGCGCAACAAGACGTGAATAAAATCTCGACTCGTGGATTCCGGAAGAAAACGTATCAAAAACCCCTGAGAAAGAACTCTGAATACCCTGCAAGCTCAAATCAACCGGGGTGCTACAGATGCGAGACAAAGGTCATTCGGCGAAAACTTGCCGATACCAAGGTGTGAAGTGCGCTGGGTGCGGACTAGTCGGTCACCTGAAAAAAGCGTGCCGACGGACCACTCTCTCGAATCAAAACTATCTCGAGGAGGTCCCATTTCGCTATGTCAACTCGAAGGACCCAATTCGAGTTGAAGTGGATATTGAGCAACACGCACTTCAAATGGAGATCGACACAGGGAGTGGGATTTCCACGATGCCCCTTAAGACATTCAGAAGAATCGCTCCCCAACATGAACTTCACGAGAATAATATTCAACTACGAAGCGCGACTGGAGAAATATTCCAACCGCATTCCTTTGCCAACGTCAGCGTCGTCTACGGAGACCAGGAAAAATCACTACGACTATATCTCATGGAGAATGACAAATTCCCTGAGTTGATAGGTCGCGACTGGCTCCGTGAACTCCCATTGCATTGGTCTAAACTGCTGACAGGCGAAAATAAGGTACATCATCTGAACGCTTCAAATCAAAATAGCAGCTACGGAGCCTCAGATACGGAGGACTTCAAAAGCAAAGCCCGGAAATTACTCGGGAAGTACGAGAATCTTACGAAACCGGGCATAGGATGTATCCCGAATAGCGAGGCGAGACTGGAACTGACATCGGAGGATCCAGCGCCATATACCTCAGGCGCTCATCAACCGGCTGAAGCCTTGATCGAAAAACCAACAAGGAGCTCGACTTCCTAGAGGAATACGGAGTAATCACCAAAGTGAACACAAGCGAATGGAGCCATCCGATGTGTGTCGTTCCCAGAGCGAAAGGCAAGAAGGTCAGGATCTGTGGGAACTTCAAAGCAGGAATAAATCGTCACATAAAGATAGACTCCCATCCTCTCAAGAACATCAGACATGCGCTCGATAACATTGGGAATGGGAAAACTTTCTCCAAGCTTGACGTATTCTCTGCGTTCCTCCACCTGCCTGTTCGTGAAAAGGATCGGAAGTACTTGATTGTGAACACTCACAGAGGCTTATACCAGTTCAACAGAATGGCGAACGGCCTGTCCAATGCCCCAGCGATCTGGCAGAGGTTCATCGAGGGTGTTCTCGCAGACATTCCAGGTTGCGAGTGCGTAATGGACGACATTCTGGTTACTGGAGCCACGAACGAGGAGCATCTACGGAGGCTTGACACAGTAGTTCTCTCGTCTCAACGAGCACGACATTCGCCTGAATTCAGAAAAATGTGTCTTCTTCGAAGAATCGGTGACATACTGCGGGTTCCTCATCAAAAATCAAGAAATACATAAATGCGACGATAAAGTCAAAGCGATCCGCGAAACGCCGTCACCCAAGAACGCATCCGACTTGCGATCATTCCTCGGCATCATTCAATTCTACTCAGGATTCGCAGCACGTTTAGCTGATTTGGCACACCCTTTGTACTCGTTGCTGAAATCAAACGCTAAATTCCTGTGGGATTCGAGTATGGAGAAATCATTCCAAGCCGTAAAGGAAGAACTTTGCTCGCCGAGGGTGTTGGTACCCTTCGATCCGAAGCGACCACTGTTACTCGCCACCGATGCTTCACCGTTCGGAATTTCAGCTGTCTTGTCCCACCGCTATCCGGATAAATCAGAGCGCCCGATCGCGTATTATTCCCGGGTTCTAACAGACACCGAGAAAAAATACAGCCAGATTGACAAAGAAGCGCTCGGAATCAAGACGGGCGTCGAAAGATTTTTCTATTACCTGTTCGGGCGACGATTCGAGTTGATAACCGACTCCAGACCACTCGTGCAGATATTCCATCCTTCAAGAAACCTGCCTCCGCTGTCAGCAACCCGTATGCAACATTATTCGATCTACCTATTGGCCTTCAACTTCGACATCGTGTACAGAAAATCAGAGAAGCATGGGAATGCAGACGCATTGTCCCGACTGCCAGCAAGAAGTGAACGACTACAGGAGATGGACGCTTCGGATTGTTTCATCGTAAACCTAATCTCCGAAACCCCGTTACGTTTCGAAGAAATAGTGCAGGAAACGAAAAGTGATCCAGAATTGAAACCACTCTTGAAGTTCTTCAGAGAGCCAAGGAGTTGCAAGGATGCCCCGAGATTCTTTGGCTTAGACGCGTGCGAGTTCAGTCTCCATCAGGACTCAGCATTACTCAGAGGCCATCGTATCGTCATACCGAAAAACTGCCGAGAGCAGGTGCTCACGGAGTTGCATGAGGGACACTACGGAGAACGCAAAATGACGGAACTCGCCCGTCGCTTCGTCTGGTGGCCAAATATATCCCATGACATAAAGGCGCTATCCCGATCGTGTCCCGCCTGCTTGGCATGTGCTCGAAATCCACCAAAAGAAGTCATACATAGCTGGAAACCGTGCAAATTTCCCTTCGAGAGAATTCATCTGGATTATGCCGGCCCGATCCAAGGGAAATACATCTTACTAATTGTGGACGCGTTCAGCAAGTGGTTAGAAGCATTCATAAGCAACGACAAAACGTCAAGTACGACTCTCAAACATCTCAAGGATACGATTGCTCGTTTTGGGATCCCATCCGTAATCGTAACGGATAATGACCCAACCTTCGTATCCGAACAGATGAAGAGATTCTGCGCCACAAACGGAATTCGGAAAATGACTTCACCGCCATTTCACCCCGCATCAAACGGCCAAGTGGAACGCTACGTGGGCACCATGAAAACAGCTCTCAAGAAATTTTCGCTCGAAAAACAGGATCTGGCCGATAGTTTAGCTAGATTTCTGTTTAGACAGCGAATGGTTTCAAGCTCCTCAGGAGAAAGCCCCGCTTCCATCATGCTCGGTCGAGAACTGCGCTCGA